CAGAGAAAAAGAGGAAGACCCCAATGAGATGGATTGGCCAAGTGGCAACATGGATGGGGTAAAGCGTGGCAACAATAATGAGGTTGTCCCAGGATCAGGAAGTGTTATGTTCTGCTGTGCATAAGGTCGCTATGGGTCGGTACTGAATTGATGGCACCTAACAACAAGAACTCTATCAGTTTACAAGTTCCACGAAAGCTGTAGTGTCTTTAGTCACCATGTACTTACATGATACTGTTGACAATCTTTAGACCAAAAAAAGAAGAAAAGGTCAGGTATAAAATAAATAATAAAGGAAAAATTTAAAACAATACTGACATGAGGCAAAACAGACTGAGAATTCTACATGTGTAGTCAATTACGTATTCCAATCATTTCTTGCTCCCCTCCTGGTACAATAATTAAAAATCTCAAAAAGCAGGTGAGTTAGGTAGATTGAATTCTAAATCAGTTTAAAAGAAACGACTATAAATAAAAGGTGAAATGCCATGCTTAACCAAAAACATCCACTCACTCAACATCTGCCTAAAACGATGCTAATATCACACTAATCAATTTAAAATTTTTTATTTTGTCCAATACATTCAAGTCAAGCAACAGATTGAAAGCTTCAAAGTGAACATAAATGTTTAATTTGATGCACATAAAAAGCAAGTAGATGGACCAACAAGAAAGACAAACAAATATAAGAGCACAGTACAGAGAATTTTAAAGTCTTTTTAAAAAGATTTAACTTCAGACATAATTTTCTAATAGCCCACCTGAGCTGCTGGGGGTTTTCATGGACACCGAGCACCCAGTAGTGATCAGACTTGCCCTTGCAGTGTTCTCTTGTGTTACACACAGGAACCCATGTGTTACCAAGTCCCCTGTTAAGCATGCGAACAATGCCCTCTGAATCCGCGTAGCACGGGGTACCTATAGACCAAGAGAAAAGAATCCACTGGGAGACATACCTACACACCTGAATATAAATTCTATTTCAACATACTTACCAATCAACTTTCATTTCCAAAGCAAAAACAAAACAAAAAGGCAAAATCCAAGATTATTTTCTACAAAATTTCACCAAATTGCATAGAGTAAGACCTAACTGGATATGAAATAAAATTACATGTGATACATCTAAAATTAAGGAGCTCTGGTAGTGAGTTAGGTGTTGGGCTGCTAACTGCAAGGTCAGCAATTCAAACCTACCAGCTGCTCTAAGGGAGACAGATGAAGCTTTCTGCTCCTGTAAAGATTTATAACCCTGGAAACACCATACAGGGTTGCTATGAGTCGGAACCAACCCTATGGCACACAACCACTATACCTAAAAATTACTCAAATAAAGAGAAAAAAACTGACCATTTCATTGAAAACTATGCCACCTGGTGGAATACTTCAGTAATAACTTTAAAGTCAATTTCAGTAAAAATGAATATAGAGTAAGCTTGAATCTGAAGGCTCCTTAATTAAGACAGATGGATAAAGGACCAGAACTTGATGCAAATTTGTCTCTGGTCCTTTTCTTCCTCCTTCTCAATCTTGACCTTGACACTGCTCTATCCCCAGCAATTCTTACCAAGAAAAAGAGGTAAGCTTCCTATTTCCCATCTACTCTCACCCAAGAAGGCCTGGGAGTGGATTAAGAGCTGGGCTGCTAACCTCAAAGTCAGTAGTTTGAATCTACCAGTTGCTCTGGGGGGAAAGATGAGGCTTTCTGCTCCCATAAAGATTTACAGCCTCGGAAACCATGTACATGGTGGCTGTGAGTCAGAATTGACCTGACAGGACACAACAACCAACCACTGACCCAAGTAATGGTATTTTTGTTTGCCTCCTCTGCATGTGAAAGCTAGACAATGAAAGCTGGAAGAACAAAGAATCGAAGTCTGAATTAAGGTGCTGGCGTAAAATACAGAATGTACTGTAGACTGTCAGAAGAATAAACATATCTTTCTTGGAAAAAGTACAGTTAGAATGTTCCTTAGATGGGAGACTTCATCTCACATACTTAGGATATGTTATCAGGAGGGTACAGTCCCTGGAAAAGGACATCATGCTTAGTAAAGTAGAGGGTCAGCAAAAAAACAGAAAGACGCTCAGTAAGATGGATTAACAACGGCTGCATCATGTCTCAACAGAAACAACGATTGTACAAATGGAGCAGGTCCTGACAGTGTTTCTTTGGTTCTGTTGTATATACACAGATAGGGTCACTGAGTCAGAGCCAACTCGACAGCACGTAACAACAAATGCTCTCACCTCAGGAAATGCACAACAAACTACCTAATTATCCCTTCCTCTTATCTGTAGCTTCACACCCTTGTCACTCCGCAGACAACAGTATCTTCAGTGTGGACATGATACGTAGGCGTGTGTAAAATGTGTAGAATGGTCACTAAAGAATACATGATCATTAATATCCTAATGATCTATTGATCATTAATATCCTAATGACCTGAAACTATTTAATTATTTTTAAATGACAAATGAGTTTCCAGTAATATAGTTGTTACTCAGACTCATAGCGACTCTGTACAGGGTTTCTAAGGAGTGGCTGGTGAGTTTGAACCACCAACCTTATGGTTCAAACCAACATTGAGGTTGCGGGCTTATCCTATAACACCACACCATGACTCTGTAATATAACTACAAATCTCCAATAATAGAAATATTTACGTTCTTCAGACAGGTTTACAAGCCCTACAGTGACCTTACAGGACACAGCAGAACTGCCCCATAGGGTTTAAGGCTATGATCTTTACAGAGCGGATTAACATTATCTTTCTCCCATGAAGCAACTGGTGAGTTTGAATGATCAACCTAATTGTTTGTAGTCTAGCTTTTTAACTACCATACAACCAGGGTGCCTCTCACCTGCCATATGCCACTATCAAATGATTCTACAATATCACTATTCGGTTGAAATATGTTGAGTCACAAATATAAGTTTTAATTTTCTAGAATCATAATAGGAGGCCCTGGTGGTAGAGGTGGTGGTGTGCCGTGGAGTCGGTTCTGAATTATAGTGGCTCTACATAGGGTTTCCAAGGTTATAAATCTTTACGGGAGCAAAAAACCTCATCATTTTTCCCAGTGCAACAGCTGGTAGGTTCAAGCTACTGACCTTTAGGTTAGCAGCCCGACTCCTACCCATATGCTACTCTAGGTGGTGCAAATAATCAAGTGCATGGCTATTAACCAAAAGCTTGGCAGTTTGAAGCCCTGCCCAGAGGCACCTCAGATGTAAAGCCTCTGAAAGGCCAAGGGCTTGAAACCTTACAAAGTGCAGCTCTACTCTGCACACTTGGGTTGTCATGAGTGGAAATCAACAGCCAACGAGAGCCACATTGGAAGAGTAAGCAAAAACGGTGATACTAACTTTTGTAACATATTTAACACAAACTAAATCTTTAAAATTCAGAGTATATTTTACACTCTCAGCACATCTCAATCCAGATTAGCCAGATTTCAAGTATACAATAGCCAAATCGGGCCAGTGGCTACCACAGGGGACAGGGCAGATCTAGAAAATTCCTGACTTCTTTGTAGAATGTGCTAGAAAAGCCACTTTATCACTGATTTGAATTTTCTCCTTGTTATCTCATCAACACTTTTAGAAAAAAATATATACATATACATATATATGCAGCATTGTAAGATACACACTGGACCGCAAGGTCGGTTTGAATTGGAAGGTTGGCCACTCAAACTCATTAGCTGCTCCTCGGAAACCCTATACAGGGATACTGTGAGTCAGAACCAACTCGATGGCACTTAACATATATATAATGCGTATATATATGTCTTATGTATCTGCATCTATCTATCTATCTATCTATCTTTTTTTTTCCTTCAGAAAAGTAAGTTTTCTAATCAGAATTCTCATAAAGAAAAACTCTCATGAATAAAACCATAGCTATCTTGCCTAATAATACATAGCTTGGCCAACGTAGAAAAATAAAGAAATTTAAACATAAAATGAGGACAATATCTAGCTCTAAAGAAAACAGAAATAAAACAATGAAACACTTCTCTTCCTAGGAAAAAATGTCTTTGATATAAATAAATAAATTTATCTTGCCTTCAATTGAAAATCCAACCCATGTAAGGTAGGATTTCCTTGTAAGAGGAAGAGGGTCACCATGCAGGATTTGTTTTTTCTTTTTCCCCAGCTCTAGAAGCTGAACTCCAAGGCACTGATCCCCATCAAATCCTGTACCTGGTGAGAAAATGTAAATATAAGTCAGACATCAAAAAGTATCCAGCTATTATGTAGTCTAAATTATTTCCTGTGAACTGAATTCCTTTTGTGATAAATTCTAGCTTATGCAGCATTATATTTATGGGTAACCCACCTAAAGTGAAGCACCATTCAGGTATCAGAAGTACAACATAATCTTACATGGACTGTACAAAGTAATTATTCAAACACTCAAGCAATATTTGCAGAGAGCTTACTACATGTCTTAGGCATTGGGGACAGAGTGGTAGACTGTTCTCCTGTAGTTTATATTCAGATGGAATAAAGACAAACAAACCCAAATACACAAACAAGAAAACGAGTGAGTGCTAAGTGTTAAAATATTTGAAGAGGAATGTGATCTGGTTTCTGTTTTAAAAGATCACCTAGTCTGTATGGAGAATGGACTGTGGCAAGCAAGAACTGAAGTTGAAGACTAGTTGTGGTTGTTAAGCACCATTAAGTTGGTTCCAACTCAGAGACCCTGTATAGAGACCCAGCTGGGGGGTTTGCTCTGCTGACCTTGCAGTTAGCAGTCCAGTGCTTATCCTACAGTGTCACATTAGGACTCCAAGGAAGAGTTAGGAGGCTATTAAAAAATGTCCAAGAGATGGTAACTGAGTTGCATTAGAATGTTAGTGGAGAAGATAAAACTAGAAACTGGATGGACAGCATGCTATTTACTAGTAAGCAAGAAACAAGCTTGAAAGGAAAAAAAAATCAATTATTTCTATTGTGTCCAAGAGATTTCCAATGGGCAGTTGGATTCCTAAGTCTAAAGACACAGGGAGAGGTCAGGGCTCATGGCATCAGTTTAGAAGTCATGGACACAGAGATGTATTTAAAGAATGGGCCTTGATGACATCCATAGGGTAGTCAGTCTAACTTTCTTGACCTGTGAAACATAAAATCAATGTAAAGGTGTAACTATCATTTAAAGAAAATTGAAATTGAAACACTAAAGGCCCCTGACCTAGAGAGCATAATAAAGAAGCACAAAGTATGAGGGTAAGTAAAAAAAGGACTGCTACAAGGTTCTAGTCTATACGTGCACGCGTGTATTCCAACAAATTGTGTTTTGACTCTGAGATCAGTGGAAGGCTGCAGACAAGTTCTCTCAGTAATACACTTGTCCTAGTATGGAACCAACTAAATAGCACCTAACAACTAAATTGGAATGCTCTAA